TGTAGCTCCCAGGGGTTCTTTGGACCTTGTTTCCCCCTGAGGTGGGGGAAGGAGCAAGATAGATCATGGCTGGAGAGCGGCAGCCTGGGACGTGAGCTGCTGTGGGGCTCTGAGGCTGCTTCTCCAGCCACCAGGGCGAGCCGCGGACATGGGGTTCGGGGTTATCTCTCCAGGCTCGGAGGGCTGCTCCTGGTGGGAGAGGCCTATTGGTGCAATCGCTGTGGCCTTAGCCAGGCTTTTTCCGGCCCTGTCCTCAATCCAGGCACTTTCCCCTTTGATGGGTCCCCTTGCGTTTCCTCTCCACCCAAGACAGGCTCTCAAGCTTCCCCACGGTCGGTGTGTCTGGCCCACTGGCATGTGTCTGTGCATGACACTGGCAGATAGGGGGATCTCCAGGTGTGCACCCCTTTTCTGCCACTAGACCCCAAGGTGAGGCAGGTGGGCCTATCCCCAGAAGACTCTGCCAGGGGGAACTCTCCGACCAGGGGAATAGTGACAGCTCAAGGAACTCTTGGATCAAGCTGAACTCCCTGTCAAAGTGAGTGGTGGCAGAGGCAGCTGCTCCAATTCAGCCTGTGTCACCCAGGCATTCGGTTGCCATGGGAACAAGCACTTACGCAAATTGAGTCTGATTGGCGCGGCAAGCTCCACTATGGTGGTTCTCCAGGGCGGGGGGATATGGGGTGCACCCACAGACCCCTGCTCTCCTGCGCTCCTACGCGCCACTCTGATGGGCATGGCGTCTCACTTGCCACCTGACCCTGAAGCTGGGACCTCTGCTCCACGCCTCCCCACCCTGCCGCCCATGCTGTCAGCAGGCTCGTGTGCCAAATGCCTGTGGGCAGGAAGATCACAAACGGAGGCTGCCCTGCCAGCTTGGGGTGGAAACGTGCCCCCCGTGCCCAACGGGGCTACGCAGCACAGAGAACTCCAGCGGCTGCCGTGGCAGGGGGACGGCCCGTGGTCTTCCTGCCCCACTCTCAAGCTGGGGGGAGCAGTGGCCCACCCTCCTCTTCTCTGAGTTGTGGCTGCAGCACCACGACTGCCCCCTCTCTGAGCCGCAGTGGTGGCTGCGCAGTCCAGGCAGGTCTGCTGGGATCGCACTCCCGTTGCCTAGGGCAGGCTCGGGCACTCAGCCCAAGAAGCTTCGGCAGTTGCTATGGGGTGGGTGTGGTCACATGGCTATGAGCAACTGGAGCCAAAATTACTTCCTGGGAGGCCAGGAATGGAGGAGGCGTCCAGATGCAGGGATGCCAGCTCACTGTCTCTCATGACACTCCCGTGAGTGTACGATGAGAGCCCAGTGTCCCATTGCAAGCCTGAGGTACCTGGTGGGGTGAGGGGAAAAAACCCTTTACCTTTTCCCTGGGCTCCAGAACTCCCTTGATTTGGTTTGCGTTGATTTCTCCCTTCTATACTCCTCTCCCTCGGGTGCTCAGTTCCTCGTGGTGGTGTCCCTGGACTCCACTGGTGTCAGGCCCAGTGGTCCACTTCCGATCAGCAATCACTCTCTGTTGTCCTCTGTCCAACCGTCTGGTGGGATGGTCCAACAAACCTTGATTCTAGCTGGCCATCTTGAAGTCCCCAATATACCACTTTTTATTAATCCTCTCATGAACTGATGGGAACTTGGGTTGATTCCACATCTTTGCAATTGTGAATTTTGCTGCAATAAACATTTCAGTGCAAGTGTCTTTTTGATAAAATGACTTTTTTTCCTTTGGGTAAATACCCAGTAGTGGGATTGCTGGATCAAGTGGGAGGTCTATTTTACTTCTTTGAGGGATCTCCATATTACTTTACATAGAGTTTGCACTAGTTCATAGTCCCACCAATAGTGTATAAGGGTCCCTATCTCTCTGCATCCACGCCAATATCTATTATTTTGTGACTTTTTGATAAAAGCCATTCTTACTGGGGATAGGTGATATCTTGTGATTTTGATTTGCATTTGTCTGATGATTAGAGATGTTGAGCATTTTTTCATATGTTTATTGACCATTAGTCTATCTTCTTTTCAAAATCCTCTGTTCATGTCTTTTGTCTCCTGTTCAATGGGGTTATTTGACTTTTTTCTTGCTGATTTCTTTGAGTTCCTTGTAGATTCTAGTTACTAGGCCTTTATTAGATGTATAGCATGCAAATATTTTTGACCATTCTCTAACTTGTCATTTCCTCTGTTGATTGTTTCTTTGGCTGTGCAGAGCATTTTAATTTAATGATGTCCCATTTATGTATTTTATGTTGATGTGATTGCCATTGAGGTCTTAAAAAATTCTTTGTCTACTCTGATATCTAGAAGAGTTTCCCCAATATTTTTTTCTAGAATTCTTTTGGTTTCGTGTCTTACATTTAAGTCTTTTATCCATCTTGAATTAATTTTTGTGAGTGATGAGAGATATGGAACATGTTTGAATCTTCTATTTGTGGCTATTCAATTTTCCCAGCACCATTTATTGAATAGGGATTCCTTTCCCCAGTGTATATCGCTGTCTGTTGGTGAAAGATGAGATGGCAATATGTGGATGGTTTTATATGTGTGTTTTCTGTTGGGTTCCGTTGGGCTATGTCTCTATTTTTGTGCCAGTGCCATGCTGTTTTGGTAAATATAGCCTTGGAGTACACCTTAAAGTCTGGTAAATTGATGCCACCAGATTTGTTCCTTTTGCTTAAGGTTACTTTGGCTATTTGTGCTCTGTTTTGGTTCCAAACAAAGTATAGAATTATTTTTTCTAGATTTGCAAAAAATGAAATTGACATTTTGACAGGGATTGCATTGAATTTCTAAGTCGCTATGGGTAGTTTGGATATTTTAACAATGTTGATTGTGCTGATCCATGGGCACGATATGTTTTTCCATTTGTTTACATCATCTGAAATTTCCTTCCTCAGTGATTCTTAGTTTTCTTTGTAAAGATCTTTCACCTCCTTGGTTAAATATATCCCTAGGTATATTATTTTCTTTGCAGCTATTGTAAAAGATATTGCATCTATGTTTTGATTATAGCTTGACTGTTGTTGGTGTACAGGGATGCTACTGATTTGTGTATATCGATTTTGTAGCCTGAGGCTTTGCTTAAAATAATAAAGAAGATTAATGAAACTAAAAGCTGGTTCTTAGAAAGGGTAAATGAAATTGTTAGATCTCTCAATGGATTAAGCAGAAATAGAAAAAAGTATCCAAATAAGCTAAATCAGAAATGAAAACAGAGATATTACAACTGACACCACAGAAATACACAACATCATCTGTGAATACTATGAAAATCTCTATGCACATAAATATTAAAATGTTGAGGAAATGGACAAATTCCTGGAAACACACCACCTTCCAAGGATCAAGCAGGAAAAACTAGGACTCCCTAACAGACCAATTATGAACAACAAAATTGAAGCAGCAATAAAAAAACTATGAAGAAAAAAAACATCCTGGACCAGATGGTTTCATAGCCGAATTTTATCAGATCCTCAAAGAACAATTGGTTATTATTTGATAACATCAAAATGGAAGGAATCCTCCCCAACTCATTCTAGAAGCCAGTATCGCCTTGATACAAATGCCAAGAAAGGACACAACAAAAAAAGAAAACCACAGACAAATATTCCCTATGAATACAGATGCAAAAATCCTCAATAAAGTTCAGCAGCAAATGGAATTCAGCAGCACATAAAAAAAAATAATCCACGACGATGAGGTGGACTTCATCCCAGGAATGCAAGATGGTTCAACACATGCAAATCCACAAATGTGATTCATCACATAAATAGAAGGAAAAATGAAGATCATATGGTCATCTCAATAGATGCAGAAAAAGCATTCTACAAAATTCAGCACACT